TTAGAAAGCTGTGGACTCACAAATTTTACCAAAAATCAAAGCTGTTCCTCAGCTCCAGGGCTACCTGCGATCCGTGTTTGCCCTTACAAATGGAGTTTATTCTCACAAATTGGTGTTCTAAATTTTTTTTGCCAAAAACCTAAATAACTGATCATAAATTAAAAAAAAATACTGGGTGTGTGTGCACCAAATCCTAATGGAATGGAGGAAAAAGGACTGTGGTGTGAACACACACCATGGCGGAGGGAGTTCTTTCTGTCTCCCTCTTTCCCTCTCTGGTGAGTGTATGCGTACACTTGGAATAAAAAAATAAATTCATAAAATAAAAGGGGATACCAGTTTAGGGAAATGAAAATGATGATGGTCAGAGCCAGAAGTATGTTAAACATGCTCCGAATATGTTTATGAGCTTCCATGGCCTGAATCAGAAACCGTGTTAGTCTTAATACACAGAGGTGTTTCCATGGCATCTGGAGACCATTTCTCCATGGAGTTCCTTCTCGGTCAATTCCAGACTTGACCTTGAACTAATCTAAGGCACGCTTGGGAAACCAGCAGTTAGCGTAATGGCTATGTCGCTGGACTCCCACGTAGTCGACCGTGGTTCGCATCCCGGACCCAGTGGCTTAAAACTCACTCCGGGCACATGTGCATGTGTGCCCAAGATCCCGAGAGGAGAATGGAGGAGAAGGGATTGCGGTGTGACCATCCCCCCTGGGGGGTGATTTCTCGCTTTCTGTCTCTATGTCTCTCTCTGTCTGGCGAGTGCATGCACCCTATAGCAAAAACCTCTCCCCAAAAAAATAATCTAGGGCACGCTTGAGTGAAAAACCACAGTTCACTATAGGAGTGTGGCACCCGTGCTTGTAGATGCTGAAATGGCTTGGGTGCTGCTGAGGACAGCCATTATTTTATAGCTGTACAATTATAATAATACTTGCTTTCTGTATGTGGCTTTCAGTGGAGCCATAGATCATAAGAGGAGCAGTATCAGCTCAGCTGTTTCTTTTGAGAGAGATTTTTGCTATGGGGTGCATGCACTTGCCGGAAAGACTAAGAGACAGCGAGAAATCACCCCCCATGAGGATGGCCACACTGCAGTCCCTTCTCCTCCCTTCTCCTCTCAGGATTTTGAGCACGCTAGGACGCACACTGACATGAGTTTTAAGCTGCTGGGTGGGAACTTGAACTGTGGTCTACTACGTGGGAGTCAAACAGTGTAACCGTTACGCCATCTGCTGGCCCGGCTCAACTATTGCTCAACTGCTTTCCCCATTCTGGTAGCCAGGGCCGTTTCTGCCTCCAGTTTCTAGCGAGCTGGCTCCCTGGAACAGCTCATACCAGTCACCCATGTTTTGCTTCTTGGCTTTTGGGGTCAATTGCGAGGCTGAAAGACTGTGGGCCAAGACTATCTCAGAATCATTTTAATCTGAAAAGAAAGTGGGAGAGAATGTGGCTGTATTTGGCCACAACCACAACTGTGAACAGCTGCCGGGCGCGTGTGCGTGTGTGTGCGTGCGTGCCCAAAATCCCAAGAGGAGAATAGAGGAGAAGGGATTGCGGCATGGCCATTCTCCCGGGGGATGATTTTGCTTTTTGTCTCTCTGTCTCTCTCTCTCTCTCTGGCAAACACACTCCCTATAGCAAAAATTTCTCCCTTAAAATTGGTGGTGAAGGAAGGCATCTCTGAGAAAGTACATTTGTCGAGAGGTCCCAAGAGTGACAGGAGAAGAATATTCCAGACAAAGGGGCAATAAATGCAAAGTATTCTCCAGTATCTTTGGAGAACATTCTGTGTTTAGAGACCTGCCCGAGGCCACTGTGACTCGGACTTGGGAACAGTGGGAGAGTAGGTGCAGGTAAGTTCAGAGGAGGGTCAGGGCTGCTGTCCGAGATTTTGGGCTCTTACCCTGAGTGAGATGGAACTCTGAGAGTTTGCAAGGAGGGGAGTGACATGATCTGATCTATGTGGAAAAGAAAAGGCCAGGTCCAGCTGATGTAATTAAGGCGCTGGATTCCCACACAGCTGACCACGGTGAGTCCTGGACCCAGCAGCTTGAAAATAACCCCAGGTACGTGTGTGTGCAAGCCCCAAAACCCCAGGAGGAGGATGGAGAAGGGATTGCGGTGTGGCCATCCCTTCTAGGGGTTGATTTCTCGCCCTCTGTCTCTCTCTTTCTCTCTGGTTAATGCATGTGCTCTATGGCACTTTTATTAAAAATTAAAAGAAAAGAAAAAAGAAAAAGAAAGAAAAGGCCCACAGAGACAAAGAAAAATGGTTGTGTGTGGGAGTGAGCAGTGTTAATTGGACTAGAACATGGTGTGATTCTGGGCAATCCAGGTAAGCGTTCAAAAATTTTAATTATCTTGAGAAACGCACCAGAAGCCATTTTGCTTATGCTAGTGTGAACGCAAGGGAGGCGCTTACCTGGGGCTTCATTATGAAATAACATTCTTTCCAAAAGTGTCATTGAATTATTTTTAGCAGCAAATCTATGCAAAACTCTACGATGTAAGTACATTCACCAAATCCTGTGAGATAGAGAAGAGTGAATTTGATACTGGGTGTGTGAGGTGGTTTTTATTACTAGGAAGAAATTTTCCTTAATGTCAATTCCTAGTGCTAGTGTGGAAATACACTTTGCTGTTCAAAATCAGTAGGTAAATTTAACTTATTTTATTCTTGAGTAAAGTTTTACATGTAATAAATGTATCTTTCAGCCTTTTGTTTGGGGGCTTGTTTTCCTTGCCAATTCGTGGCCGTAATAAAGGGATCTCTCTTTATGTACTGCTGGTAAATTCTGTGAGGCATTTATAGTAAGACCCTCATCTGACTGGACCAGCTATTGTGAAATAGTGTCCATCGCTCCTGTACATGGACACACATACAACTCACTTATATTGGTCCAGTCAGTACATTTTTAAGACCAAATAAGGTCTTTTCTAGGTCAGTTCTTCTTCCCTTCAGTATATTCATGGATTTCTACCAAGGGTCAATACTTTTCATTGAGTCTAACCAAGAATCAAATCTCTCATGAACCACCTCTTTAGTTTTAGACATAAATCCTTTTAGAG